CAAATCACTCGATGGACGAAAACTTGGACAAAGACATCCAAGGTCTCTTTGGGGAGCCAGAGTCAGTGACAAGAAATTGAATTTGTACAAAAATATACCGTATCTGGGAATAGAAAGACAGTGGGAAACATCATTGGGCTAAAAATGCACAGAAAGTAATAAAGAGACGAAAGAAGATCATAGAACTAAAGGATATCATTGCCCACAGTGGAGCAATCAGAGCAAGTTCAAAGTGGTTTTATGCAATCCAGGTCTAATAGTGGCACGTTCTGCATTAAAGGCACGCACAGCAATTTTTCACATGGGGTTCAATTTACTTGTCACAGGGAGTTCATCTAGGAGCCTGTGGAAACAGTTGAATAATGCATTCAGCAGCTCTAAATGAAGCTTTCCAAAGATTGAAAAACAGCCTTGTAATGAAAGATGCTATACAGGTGCATTATGGGATGCGTAGGATGTGCTTGACACTAAAGTTAAAGACATTTTGGTATTCTCAGATACACGTTCGACCATAAAATTTTCAAGTAGCAGATCCTCCAACTATTTACTGGATAACTGCACATCCCTGCACTCAGGACTAAAAGAGTTTAGAAGAAAACCTTCTTTTCTGACAGGATGCAATGCAACTTATTTCTGCTTCAGCATCACTCTGGGCCAGGTCACGCCACAGGACTTGAACCACATCACAGATTAACCCCTCCTTTTCTAAGCACTGGGGGAAAGAATGCGTTTGCATGCAGATTGACTGGAGTTGAATCATGCTGTAATTTCACATTCTTTGACTGGAGGAGACTTTTGCAGGTATGAAGCGGTTCGGGAATGTAATTTTCATCATCATGCTGTGAGAAAGTTGTCAATGAAGTTTAAAGTGGAGAAGATAGTGGGAAGGTGGGATGCATAAAACATGGGTGATTCAAATTTCATGTAGCCATCTTGAAATTCTCCCAAAATATGTTTTTTTAGGGGTGCACATGATGCAACACCCTCAAATTCAGAGCTGCTCTGTTTTAGTGAACATAAACTGGTATTTAGTTTTATTTCTTCATCTTTTTTACTTTGAAAAACTCTTTTAACTAATTCTGGGCCAAGATTGTGAGAATAATATATATATATATAATATATAATATAAAACGAGATCATCCAAGTATTTCACAGTGAACTATATATATATATATATATAATTCTACAGGAACAGACCATGTACATGTACATGACAGGACTTTCTGTAACTACTTGTGATGCGGTGACACTGGAACTATTTCTTAGTATTTATAAAAGAGTGAATGTCTCTGGGTGTTGAACTTGACCCTTCATCTATGAAATCCCTTGTGGAGACGATAGCGTCTCACTTCAATCATAGCAGTGTCTCAAAAATCGACACAAATTTTATTCACAAAAGACTTCAAGGACTGAATAATTCAAAAGCACTTCAATGAGTCCTTGTTATAAACGGTAACGGACAAATATTGACGCAAAATCCAAACTCAGAAAGTTTCACGATTTGTATAAGAGATGGTTTTAATGCCTTTTTTGACAGTATTAAACTCATACACCTCATTCACTGGTCAAAGGACAGAGTTTCTGTGTATGCCTAGGTCTTCACTTTGGAAGAAGAAAATTCAATAGGAATAGGACCTTGAACTGACTTTTCTAACACTGAGGATTTAGCCTTCAGTTTAAACAGCTGCTCCATTAAATTTGTCCACTTTTGCAAAATCTTGTACAAAAATGTAATCCAACATTTGGAAACATTGAATCATTATCTCTTTAGACAGGAAAGTACTCTGAAAGTATCATTAAATATTTTTTACTTTATAATACTTCATGAAGTAGTACACTCAAGACTGGATGAGAATAGAAGAGTATTTTAAAGAGCTAGAGAAAACGGAGCTCTCCATCATGACACACACACCCACCCACACACACACACACATACACACACACACACACGATGACAGACATGGAGTGAGAAAGAATCAATAGAAGCATTTGGTTTATTATCATAAACACACACACAAACACACAATTGTGTGTGTTTGTGTGTGTGTGTGAGACAAGGGTTGTGTTTTTATCTCCAGATGGTTGACTGAGACTTGGCTGGTTAGTAGAGAGAGTCAGAGACAGAAAAGCAGGCAGAAGGCATCTTTTCTACTTGAGCTAGACTAAAACGTGAGTGTGTGTGTGTGTGTGTGTACAGCGTCTGCCAACCTGCCTGCCTGTGTGTATGCGTGTGTGTGCGTGATTGACCTTGAGAAAGGAGGCTCAGTTGGAGGAGAGAGGGAGAGAGGGANAGGACGACTGGCTTCTCATTCTCCGTCTGTCCTCTCTTTCCTTCTCCTCTCCTCTGTAATCTTTTACGTCTCTACTTCCTTCTCATCTCTTTTCACACGTCTGGTTCCTTTTTTCGCTGCATTCCCTCATTTTCCTTTTTGTTCTCCTCATGTTTTACTCCCATCCTTTTCTCTCTCTCATTTATACTTTTGCCCTTTTAATTTCCCACCTTGTTGCCTTTAGTTCACTTCTCTGTATTTTTTCTGGATGTCTCCCCCGTCTTCTCTCTCCTTAGTCCTCTCCTCTCCTATTCCTGTCCCGTTTAGTCCCTTCCTCTCCTGCCCTCTCCCCTCCTCTCCTCCTCTCCTCTCCTGCCCTCTCTTCTCCTCTCCTGTCCTCTCCTATCCTCCCCTCTCCTCTCCCTGAGCCTTCTCTTCTCTAGGATTCTTTCGTCAACTCATGGCTCCTCTCCTTTTCTCTCTCCTACTCTCCTTGCATGTCATGTCTTTTCACTTTGAATAAATGCAGACTGCGCCAACACTCCCTTTCAGTCGCCAAGGTTCTCTGCATGAAAGAAAAGAGAAGAAAAAAATAGAAGACGAAAGACACAAAGACATGTCTAACGAAAAGAAAAACAGGGAATCAAATGCCTCTTTGAAAAAGCTTTGGAGACGGCAGCATGTCCGGGGGTAATTTAGGGGAAAAAAACTGCCGTGGTAAATGGTCAAAGAGAAGGTGTGACAGTCTATATGTGATATGATTCATATTCACAAAGGGTGCAAAGGCAGCCTCTTTGATTCCTTCACAACACTTGTATCTGCAGGCTACAGTGTGTTACACGCCATTCTGTGGGCCTTTAAAAACGCCATGGAGGTTGATTTTGTGTTTCTGTGTAGTCACTGGAGGAAACGTACTTAGAATAAGGTGCTTTAATCTTTGCTTTAGTGTGTTAAATATTACCTCCCTTAGAACACACAGGCTGGAGAAGAGGAAAATGCAAAGGAAAATTTAGATAATATTTTACAAATGAGAGAAAATGTACCTTAAATTACATTTTTTCAGGTGTTAGATTAAAAATATTTACCTGTCACAGGCTAACTAAATTAATTAAAGTAAGCCATTTGATGTGGGCAGATGCTTCTCAAAAACATTTTCATATCTCTACGGTAACATAAATCAGATAAGAAAAAGATAAGTTAGGAAGATGGACGAGGGCTAGTTAAAATGTGGGGGAAAAGAGAGTAAAATGTTTAGCCAGGAAATAATTTAAACAAGGACAAAAACAAGAAAACTCGATCCTAGAGAGTAAAAAAGCTAGATATGTAGATGAAATGCAAATAATGCCAAAAATAGAGAAAAATCAAAGTAAAGCCACAAAAATGTTTGCCAAATTATAAAGTAATAATAATAAAATAAAAAATCAACCCCCAAACAAACATGAATTTGAAACAAAAGATTACTAAAAGTTAGCTAGACATCATATATCAGGACGCAAAGAACAGCACAAAAGGCTTTTCATCTTCTATAGCTTTATCCATACATCCAGGGCATCGGAGCCTTGGTGCATTACAGTAAGACAAATGCTGTCTGAGGCAGAGACAGAGAACGTACAGCACACACTGCTCTCTTCATCCAGAATATACTCTCTGCTCTCAGCACTCTCTCAAGGACATGATGTGTTTCAGTCAAAACAGCAGCAAACGTACCTGAAATCTGAGTCTGCGGTGCTGTTACTTTGTGTGTCATCTTGCATCAAGATGCTACGGGCACACAGGAGTGTATGAAGGTTCACACATACGCTGGTTCCAACAGCTTCATCCATCTTTTTCTTATTTCCTCCATGACCTTTTAAAGGAGTAGAAAACGAGACACGGAGAGAAGTAAGACCTTTATCAACCAAGTGTGTCCTCATCTTCTAATTTTTCACTTTGTCTTTCGACTTGAACAATTTTTCTCCCTTACTTCACAGAAAGTACTGTCACACAGTCATCACATCACATCTGTGGTCTCAAAAGCCCACCATTGACGGTACAGAGGTTCAGAAATTAGTGCTAAGACAGAGGCGTGAAGCGTAAAGGTTATGTTTACAATATACTCACAGTACAATATCAATCTCTACAGTTTCTTTGCACAAGCCAAAGGTTACTTGGTGGAAGGTAAACTTGTTTGTTCATCAAATAGACTCCATTTGATTGACAGCTTTCATGTCGGGAGTGATATTAAATTTATGAATCTTCCCAGTGCACTATGTGTTTTAGGGATATTACTGCTAATCCTGGAAATCCAGAATCACTGTTGTGCAGGAATCAAATCCCAGTGTTTGGACATCAGGTTCCCATCAATTAGTTAATTAGCTCAAGTTAAATGTCAGTCTGTTTTATTGGGTTTTCCACTTTTTATATATTCTTTTTTATATATAATCAATTCTTATATATTGGTCCAAAGTAATGAAAAGTGCACAAGAGAGGTGAGGAAAAGGATGCAGCCAGGGTGAAATGGATGGAGACGAGTCTCATGGGGGATGTGTGACAGAAAAAAGGGACAATTTAGATATAAGACAGTGGGGAGACATGCTACGATGCTATAATATATTGGACAAAGGACAAAGAGGGGATGTGGTGAAAGGTGTTCAATTTTAGTTATTAAAAAATGTCAACATTATTTTCCCAATTTTTTCAAGTTGCTTTAGAAATAATTTTGGTAGGGACCTGCCTACTCAGAGTTTCTCCACTTGCCCTCTGACTCTGAAGATGAGATGCTGATGTCATAATCATAACTGTAGTCATAATCATGACTGTGGGGAAGTCATGTGACATCATGTGACCATCAGAGCAATATGTCAAATACTACAGATTCAATATGGCTCTGAGAGTTGGATTAATTTCTGTTATTGATTCAGTATCAAGATCCATTTTAATCAGACAGTTTTTAACATAGCACCATTTAAATGTCATCAAAACATCAAGAGAAGTGAATAAAAAGGCAGTTCAACTACAGAGATGGCTCTGTTGCTCCAGGTTTACTCCTTAGCACATTGGTGAGAGGAGGTGAACATTGGAGGAGCAGATGCAGCGGCAGGAGTGTGGAAGCGAAAAAGGTCAGCGGGATGAGAAAAGGGTCTGATTATAGCTTTGTGAGAGAGAAGTCGGAGTTTGTGCTGAATAAGGTGCAGCATGGGGAGCTCGCAGAGGTTCTTGAAGAAAGAGGTGACGGGGTTATGAGAGCAGGTGGTGTACTGTATGTGAAGAAGCGTTCTGCACATGTGGAAGTTTGTTGAGAAGTTTGAAAGATTATCAGTAGAAACTACTGCTGCTGTAGTCTGGAGAGGGATGCAGGGGTGATTGAGAGTTTCTGCTGCAGAGAAGAAGAGTGACGGGCAGAGACAAACAATGGTCCAGAGGTCCAGAGGTCAAGAAATGTTTTTTTTGTGATGTTGTTGATGTGAGGGGTTGGATATATGCCAAGGTTGACACAATGAGGCGTAGTAACACTACTGAGAATGACGTTTAGGTCTTCGGCAAAGGATTTGAGAGCAGCGATATTTATGTCTGTCACAAAGTACATATGAAGGAAGGTTGTTTTATGTCTCTTATTTGAACTTTTGATGTATAAATGATGACAGAATTGAACCTTACAGAGACTGGTCATTGGCCTTTAAATATGCTCCAAATATAATATCAAGTATAATGCAACATGGACCGTGTCCTAACAAGACAAAACAGCACAAATCTATCTCAGTATTTATAAAACAATTTAAAGCCAGGCATCTACATACTATGTCCCTGTATTATTAATGTGTATTATAATTACAGTACATACTTGCTGTTCAGTAAGTATTCCAGTATTTCAGTTATAATACAAACAATCCAAAACAATCTACTTTGAATCTGCTGCTGCGGAGTATTTGCAGGACTAGCGGTCTTTGTAGCATCCGTTCTGACAGATGTGTGGCTCATTTGTCTTCTCATTCATTATCATGACCGTCCAATGACAAAGCTTGTCTTGCATTTGACCAAAATGATCCTTTAGCGCTCTTCATCGCTCTTCACTGCTAAAATCTTTTCACCTATTAGAGATTATTTTGATTTACTGACATTATAATTATGCAAATGAGTTTGTTCCCATTTACATTAAAGCTCTTGTTTATCCTATAAATAATGCATAAACAACAAGGCAGTATATTTTATTGCCTCTACGCAAAAAAATGTTTATAATCAATTACAAAAACGACACAGAAATCACTCATCGTGATGTTAGTTTACCATTAATTTTTCATATATCTGCTCCTTTATACAAAATGACAAAACTTAATAATATTTTACAATGTAAAAAATTAAGAGATCTATATTAAATAAACAAATGTAGATGAAACGAGTTCCCATTGGTTCCTCCATCTCCGTACTTCATGATTATATTCATGTTCTGACTAGGAACAATTAAAGTTCCTGCTTTTCATTGAAGGAGCAGACGCCTCATTTTTCTGTCTGCGCTTTCTTGTCTCTACATAAATGTCTGGACGGAGCGGTCTCTCAATTCTCCTGAGCAGAGTCTATGCAGAGGAGGAGAAGGAGTGGGAGGTGAGAGGAGGCAGCAGCAGCGGCAGAGATGGAGGCCTAAGCAAGGCTATTTTTATGAGGTACATAATAAAGATATGGAGATGAAGTATCTATATACCGCAGGACCTTCTTTTCTTGCTCTAAGTCTGGCCTGACAACCTCCTCTCTTGTTTCTCCTCCACAGCTCCCATGGAGAATGGGGAGAAAAGGCTGAGATGAATGAGAGCAATAACCTCATGTCAGGAAAAAGAGGGAGAGAGAGAGAGGGTCACGACGGTATAAACATCGGAGCGAAAGCTTGCAGTTCTATTTTTACTATTGCACATGGGTCGTAAGAGGTGGAGGGAGGAGAGGAAAAGGATGGGGGGTGGGGGGGAGAAAGAGGAAGTGGCTTGAAAATGTGAATTCTGCATTATTCATGGACCCAGTGGAGAAGCGTGGACAGAGACTGGGACTCCTTCCATAGCCAGTGTGCACACACACACGCATGCACGTACGCACACACACACTAAGAAACTTTTTTTTTTCTGTTGTGCTAGTGTGCACAAAACTGACACCGTACAGTAATACAGTTACACTAAAGGGCACATTAAGCACAACTAATTAGACATTAACAGGCAAATCACATTATCTGCACATAAACTGTCTATAGTATTTTTCTCAGGAGCTGGTGGAGACCAAACCAGAGCATAAAGGAGAGCCCACAAAGACATGCAGATTAGGATAAGATTATATAGGAAGCTTTTAGGGAAATCAAGGTCTGGTCTGATGTTCCTTGGTGGCACGGGACATTTTCACCCACTGTTATTCCCTGGCACATCATATTTATCATTATTTGTGGTTGTAGTTAATTAATTAATTATTAATTGAAATAAAGCTGCTTCCTATCTTCAGTCATCCAATTCTCTTTTTAAAAAATATCAGATATTAAAAACAACATTATTTCTTAGCTGTTTGACTATTTTGTCAAACAGGCTAACAGAAAGTTACACACTAAGTTACACTTAGTTTTCCTGTTTCAAACTTTTTAATCATTTCTGTAATTGGCTTTAAGCTCTTTTAAGCCATGTTTTAATATCATTATTATAACTTAACTAGCTCTCTCTAGTACTTAAAGCAATTTCTGGGCTAGCTTTAGGACTAACAGCTCTCACATTAGCCTGTGTTTTCACTTGCCATCCAGTCAACAACACTGAAACTACTTTATCCTGTTTCACCTATCCACGTTCCTCATGAAATCTGACTTTAAAAAACAAAACAAAACATTGGTGTCAAATTCTCCTTTAGTGATTTGGATTTATCATATTTGCAAGAGATAAAGGCATGTTTTGCCCTCAAAAGAATCTGCAGATATTTATAATTATTTTGTGGGTATTTCTCTACAGTAAAACAAGGTTCCCATTTGAAAATGTTTGAAAAGCCCTGCCTTAAACTGCAGTCATGAGTGTGACTGTAAATGGCTGTTTATCTCTACGCCTGTCCCTGTGAGAGACTGTCCATGGTGAGCTGTCTTTTACCTGATGTCACTGCACTAGCTCCTGGTTCCCCCGCATCCTTAAAAGGAAAAAGTGGAGGAAGATGAATGAATGAATGACTGAACACAAACACTGCATTTGTGGCCCTCAGTAAAAATAAACTGTGGCTGTTCATCATCTGTCTGAAGTACCTGTTTACATTTATGTGCATGTCCTCTGTGTGTGCATCTGTCTGCGCCTCCTCCAGATTTCATTGTTCCTAACCGTGAAATGTTTCTCTTGGGTCATATAGAGCATCTCATATTTCACAGCTACTTTATGGATTTATTCATGTCCGCATCTGATATCCTTGTGTGTGTCTTCATATCATTGTCTTGCGCTCTGTGTGTACGCGCGTGTGTGCTTCTGTGTTTGTTCCTGGATGCCATATTGTTTGCACGGATGAGTGACCTTCACAGGGCCGTGTCACACTCCGTAAAACTCTGCACAGTTGTTTAGTCGCCTGCTTGTTCCCTCAGACCGGGACGAATATGATGTTGACTTGATGGTGCTTCCAGAATAAAACTGTTTTATGTCACACAGTGTGGGTTTTAGTGGGTAGTTTGGACTATGTTGATACTATTGTATTGATATGCACTTCATTTTTGTCCTACGTTAAAACTATTTCACCTGGCAAAGGATAAAACATGAAGGTGTCTTTTGTCAAAACAAATATTCTGGAGCTGTAAAGTTATTAAGCAGTAACTGTATATGCATCACTGAATGACCTTCCATAATACAATGACTGTTGTTTGTTCTTTCACTAATATACACACATAGATGTAGTGTTTACTTGTCTAAAATAACTTTGACAGATTAGGTTTTTTGTAGAGTTGCGTGGCGTTAACTTCTATATTCCAATATTCCAAAGTTGTCCAAATGCTTAATTTCTGTTTCCGATATCAACCGATACTGATACACGTTTCCCCAAAACTGATGTAAACATCTCAAGTGATTGATTCCAACGCATTTGGCGAAACCCAGGTATTGCATTTTCGAGTTTTCATTATTGGGGGAAAACCCGATAACGACTCTTCTTCAATTTCGTTGTACCCCCGTAGTACAATGACAATTAAGACTATTCTATTCTATTCTATTCTATTCTATTCAGATACTGTAGAATTATCCTATTATTGGACATCCCTAGTTTTTTATTTATCCGTGAATCAGACACTGTCCAGTTTTGGTCAAGGCTCCGACCATTCTATCGTTCAGGATATGATACATTTAAATAACTAAACAAATGTTTAGGCCCAGGAATGTTGTGTGGATTTATAACAACATTAATATGGTCTGTTAAATAATAGCAGTTGTTCCAGAAATAATTTCCCACAATAATGATCTGGAATCTTTCCCATAGGACAAACAGAGCAGGCGCGCTGCCTTAATGTAGACAAATGATCATATTATGAACATTTTATGAACTTTTTTATGGTTTCATGATTCAGTCATTCATAAAAATATTCACAATATCTTGTAAATCAACTCACATGCACGAATCAGTCTGAAATATATGGTGTGTTTGGAAACTTTACTATGGGCTGGTACAATTTAGGTTGGAGGACGAAAGCACAATTGTGTCGGGAAGAGAGTAAGTGGTTCGTTTTATGAGTCGTAATAAACCAGCAAAATGTCATTTTCAGGTTTTACCTTTCCGCCCCATCAATTTCCTCGGCAACCGTCTCTGCTTCTGGTCCATTTGTGTTTCAGCCTGTGGCTTTATTTCAATCTTCGCCTCTGCATTAGTGACCATGGTGAGGCTTTGACATTGTCCCTCCTGTCCCCCTCATGTCAGGTGATGGATCAGCGGTGTCCCGTGGAGACAGAGACTGAGGAAGAGGCAGAGGAGAGGTAAACAGAGTGTGATCTATCTGCAGCTGCGCAGCTGCTGGACAGGATGCTGCTGCTGTAACATCTTTAATCTGACTGGCAAGAAGTGATGCTGATCTGACAGCTCCTGCTGATGTAGTGAGCTGAAAAGTGATAGCAGCGCGCGCACACACACACACAAACAAACAGATGTGCACATACACACATCATCACCCAATAATATTTCTTTCCCCCAAGACTTCTCTCAATTATTCAATTATAATTGCTGGACACACGAAGACTGGAAAAAAAGCCTCCTGACTGAATGACAAAACACACAGTTTGTAAGATTGCCCTTTAGAACAACAAAAGGAAATGTTTTATGACGTGTCACCTCCAACGGCAGAGTGACCTCATTTGTCAGCGCCTTTCCCAAAACTGTTACAAATCCCTGCTGGGTAACACTTTATTTTAAGGCCCTTTATTTATCATTTATGTGCACTATAGTATATGCAGGCATTCACTAATGGAATCCCAGAGGAGGAGTTACAGCTGTTGACAAATTCATTAACACCCTCTTCACTGTATGTATTTACTCACTCGGTGTTGCTATGTTTATGTGTTTTGTCTGTAAATGTTAATACAGCACATTACTAAAACAACTACACACGTCAGATAAACATGGATTAATGATGTTGCGGCTGTGTATCAGTAGGTAGAGTCGGTTGCATTCTAATAGGAGGGTCGGGGGTTTAAGCCCAGACTCTGCTTGGCAACACACTTAACCCCTGTGGCGTCAGTGTGTAACTGGTAATAATTGATGTGTGATAAAAGAAGTGCTTGAAAGACGTTTATTGGGTGTGTGTGTGAGTGAATTGGTGTGAACGGATGAAAGGTGTGAAGGTGGTCGTCAAAAAGAAAAATGCTTTTTCTACACTGAGTCAATGGAAAAAATGATTTTGACTCACTGTAAGTGAACTGATTGATCTGCCATGTCTTTATGGGTTTTTTAGCCATTACCTTCAGCAGGTAGTCACATTTGTCTGTCTTTGAGCAGCATAAGTCAAAAAGTAAATCAGGGAGTTTGATGGAATTCTCTGAGGATGTGGGTTAGGGAGAAAATATGAGTTTTTTGCTGGTTATCCAGATATGGATCGCCTTTTCAGTGCATTGACACCGAGGTGAGGTTAGGAGAAAACCCAGCAGCCAAAATTCAGATTCAATTCATGTTTGGCTCAAACGTTGCATTATTATTTGTGTTCATGTGGCCTGTTAATTCTTTTTTTTTTTTTTTTACAATGAATCTACTATCAACATTGGGGTTAATTTTGGATCATTGGAACAAATATTTTAGCTAATTACCTTTTCTCACCATCTTTAGTTTCCTGTCAACTGTTTGACAGCTAGTGGTAGATAATGGATGTGTTTGACAATTTAGCCTTAGTCATCGTTGGCCTAACATGTTTGTTATTTCTGTTCTGTCATCATTACTACACATTTTCTTTGATTCTTTTTAAAATTAAAATAATTACTACAGAAATTAGATTCAGTTCAAGCATCATATGAGTATCTGCAAATGTACATTAAACTATTATGGGTTATGTTTTCCAGAATGACTTCCCAACAACAGCTGCTAATTAAACAATGAGAATGCATCCAGGAAATGAAACCAACAAACTGTATAATGAGGCTAATTACCTTCAAAAGAACAGACTTGATTGTTCTGACAGTCCCAGGTGAGCACACACACACACACACACACACACATGGGAATAGTCTTCCAGGAACAGGGGGGGGGGGGGGGGGGGGGGGGGGGGGATGCGGGGGAGGTATTTGATTGGTGACATCACTGTTGAACTGATGTTCTGAAGTAGAATCAGAGAGAGAGCTGAGAGAACACGGTTCATGTTATGACTTATAGCAACAGACAAATGATCAATGACCTCATGACCTCTGCCTCCTGGGTCCTATGTTTTTAGACCAGAACCCTATTTACATTAAAATCACCCATTTATATGTAACAAAACGTAGCATCTAATGCCTTCACGGCATGAAGGACTGTGATCTGAAATGAGGTTTCATTAAAAAAATTGTACCTGTACATATAAAATATGTTGTTCTCTTGAAATAAAATATACATGTTTATTCTCTCAGTATGAACTTTTCACCTAAACAGGCACAAAATACAAATTTGTTTCGTAAATTCTTACAATGGAGCTACATTGGAATAATTATTTTTATGAATCTTTGACCCAAACTGGTAAATGATTTATGGGTCAATGAATGACTTGAGAAATTGTAGTAGTACAGAGTATTCAGTACACAATGTACACAGTGTGATCTGTTCCTCTAAGCGTTGCTTTTTTTAGTTGGTGAGTAAAGAAAATACCCCATTTATTGCCTCATTTGATTGTTTTTTTCACTTTTTAACTGGTTGTTAAAGTAAATCATTAATGTCATTTACGTTATTCAACTCAGAACCAGGAACATTTGCTTCCTACGTTCACAGATATGAGCAGCTTCCTCAGAGATACCAGGTTGTGCTGATAATCAGATAACATGGGAGTCAGTGTGTTCCCTATTCTTCAGATCGGAGTTCAATCTCTCTTTTTCCTGGTATAGAATTTTTCTTATCTGAAGAGAGAGTGTAACAAGAGAGTGTTGTGTCTGTTGTGACAGTAAGTTATCTGGTTTCCAGAAGTTGAAAACCAGATAAGCTTGGTTTTTTGGAGTTTTTGTCTAACTCATGCGTATGTAAAAAAAAAAAAAAAAAAAAGATGCTTAAAACGCTGGCAAGAAAAATCAGTAATGGCCTGAATCACCTGAATGATTCTGGGCAATCATTTCTCTTTTATTTTCAACCCAAGTGACAAAAAGCTAGTTTTTTTATATCAACATCATAATTGAAAATGTGACAAATCTGGCCAAATGCATTTAAACCCATACATTATTGTGGGTTTATTACCATATTTTAGATTACAAAGTAAACAGCCAAGGGAGGTGGAATTTAATCATGAATCAAAGTTAGGATTGGATAAAGGAAGAGAGGTAAGTTTTGACATGGTTTGGACATGTACGCGTACTGCAGGTCAAAAAGAATATGCAGTAATGACATCAAAGGGTTCTGTTGACAGTACACACACAAGAACATGAGTTTAGTTGGTTTAAAAGTACATGAGCTAAAAAACAAAGTAAGACAAGGACAGACAAAAAGACAAAACCTGGAGCAGATCCCGGAGACCTTTCTTTAAGGAAACCTCCTGTTTAAATTGTTTTTTATCAGTAATTGCTCTTTCTCTAGGGAGCAGCCACCATGAATCAAGAGCTAAACAGGAACAAAGATCATATTAGTGATGCTCTTGCTGATTATAAGACTCTAAATCTTGTTATTTGTGGTGGCTTTCAAAAACACCAGAGAAAATGATGCATAATCAGCATTGACAGTCCCACGGCCCTGTGATCCTTATTCAGTTCAGTGTGTGTGACTGGAATAGCAGGTGACTTGTTTTGGTGCTGAGCCCCATATGTGCCACGTAGCGAGAATACGTGTGTGTGTGTGTGTGCTCTCTCTAGCCATTCATGTGTGGCTGAGTGCACTCAACAACAACAACACCCCATCACCAGACAGACAGTCCGGCCGGCAGGGACCCCTGTCCACCATCTGTGTGTGTGTGTGTGTAGCTGACATACACACATTAAAAAAAGACACACACACACATAAACACTTGCAGACTGGTAGTACTGATGGTCTGGCCTCCACCTGTCCCCCCTGTCATTATCTGGGAGGTGATGGAGGGAGAGAAATGAGGGAGGAGGCTGAGAAAGGAGGGAGGGAGAGAATAACGAGAGGGGAGGAAACAGGCCAGATAAGAGAAATAGAAAAGGAAAAGAGACAGAAAGGGCAGCGAACTTAGTGTGACAGAGTCGTGGCTGAAGAAACTGGATGGAGACATTGAGAGACTGCAGAAAAAAACTGATGTGACAGAAACAGAGAGATGGGATGAGGATGGACAGAGTGACGTGTGGATGATGAGTAAAAGGACAAATCAAAGAGGAAAGACAGGGAGGATGAGTGCAGAGAAGATTAAAACGTGAGCACATTTAAAATAAATGAAGAAGCCTGGTAATCTGATGAATTGAAGATTAGAAAGTAAAAAGTAGAGGAGTGCGACAAGGACATATGGAGGACGGACAACTGTAAAACATCAGAAATCAAGAGTCAAATTTGACCTGAAGAGGGAAAATACACATGCAATTTTTATTGTAAAAATGCTATGTTTTTTTAAATCGACTACTATATCAGAAAAGTTCAAACTCCTTATAATTCAAAACCTAATCTCTAATTTGGCAGTGCATTTGGACTTTTATATATCAGGCTAATAGACAAGGAAAAGCACCTTAATGTTTTAATGGACCCATTTGTCTTTTGTTAATCATAATCTAACTACAGTTTCAAAAATTGATAGGTGTAGGTGGAATATTTGAATATTTTTGCTGTATAACGGAGACTAGAGCTGTCAAGTCTCTGTCAGTGGTCAGAATATGGTCTGGCATTATCCTGCTAAAAATTCCATGAAAGTTCTGATTGAAACTTTCCGAGGACATTGTCTCGGCTGAAGCATATATTTCTTTAAAATTCCAAAATAGCCTCATTATATGATTGGTACCTTTCCATAAATACAGACTCCTGACGAGCCCCGTTCCCTCAATCCAGTCTGCTTCTTTTTTGTTCTTTGACATATACAACTATATTTCCTGAAATGAGTCATGGACTCATGTGACCACAGAACAAGTTCCTATTGTATTTCAGTTCATCTCACGAGAGTCCAGGCGCAGAGAGTTTCTGCAGAAAAGCCACAAGTTACTAATGCATTTTTATGCCATTGTATATCAAGCAAAGCAGTTCCCAAAGCTCTGACATCCAAAACAGCTGTGAGGTCACGGACATTCAGCTGCAGCTTCCTCCCTTGGCTTCACACAGGTCACATGTCAAATGTGTCAAACCAACATTACTTATTTC